AAATGTTGCAGTTCTGACATCGTCCTGGCATCGTCGTGACTCTGGACTCTGAGGTCGAGTCGCACGCCTCCACCACGCCCCCCGCGCCCCGTTTGGGACGGCTCCAGTCTCCAGCGCCACGCTGCGGCCGCGATGCGCTTCTGTCGGGACGAAAAGGGCGGGGCGCGCAGCACTGCGCAGCACGTGGCGGCGCGGTTAGGTTAGGAACGGCAACAACACTAGCGCCGTCTCCCTCGCTCCCTCGCTCTCCCCCCGTGGCCGACAGAGACGGCCGAGCACCACGCCCTTGTCGGCGCGCAGGGGGTGCTGCGCACGCTGCGCAGCGGGGCGGCGCGCAGGCGCGAGCGGCGGGGCGGGGCAGGGGCCGCCCGTGCACTACGACGCAAAAGGGTGGCGATGAAGGGCGGCGTGGTGGCCCAAGTGCGCAGAACTCCCTCCGGCCTCGCCCAGGCGGCGGCCAGCTCGCCCCTGGGCCAACTGTACGCGCGAACCCCCTCGGAAAGAACGCACTAAAGAGAGGCGTTGTGCAGTGCAAGACACGACGAAAAGGCGTGGAAAAGAGACTACTGCGCTCTGAGATGAGATTAGACTACTTTTGCAAACTCACTCTCAATGTGCCTGGATAGCGTAAATTCACGTCCATGAGCCGTGACATGCTTTTCGAAACGAACATCCTCCCAATTATTTTTTTCTGTTATTGCTGCATCTGAAGGGGTAACAAAGGGAATCGCGCCCCCTCTCCGCTATGGTCGGCCGCACCCGCCTCCACGGGTGACGTTTGCAGAGAGCTGGCGCGGGACACCTTCAGGCGCAGCAGTAGCGGCCGCCGCCGCACGCGTTGCAGCTGCGGCAGCTGCGGGAGCGGGAGCTGCGGAAGCTGTCTCCACTTGGCAACCATGTGCAGCACTATCACTGCAGCTGCGGAGGCGGGGACCTCCCCAAAGGAGAAGGGGGAGGAGAGGAGGGGGGCAGCGTGGCGTGGCCTGCCTTTAGGCCTGCTGGGGTCCGCGGAGGTTATAAAGGCGATATGGCTAATCGGTCAGTCCCAGTTCAGTCCGTTTTGTGCCGCCCTCCGCACCACTGTGTCGAGGAAGCCTCTAGACCCCCGCGTCCAGCACGTCCGCGCCCGTCCTCCCGTCCCGCCGGCCCACCAAGAGACCCGCCGCCGTGCACAGCCACTCCCCCGGCCTGCATCTCCGCGTGGAGCCCTTCTAGTGCCTTGTCGTGGCCACACATCCTGTTCTTATGTGTATGGTGACCGCCCCCCTGGCCAGCGTGCTTGGCGCAGCGCCCACCCCCTGTCCCACCCTAAAGACCACCCCGGCACCCACCGGGGCAGGGGCGCCCAAGAGGGAGGCCGCTACTCCTCCGTCTCGCCGCCAGCTGGAAGACATCCTGTTCGACACCTGCACAGGTGAGCTGAACGACGCGGTCAACCATTCGAATTGCTCACACTGGGTTACTCCCTACCACCATCAGTATCCTGCTGTCTACGAATTCGGTCCAGGGTCCGAGCACGCTACTTTTAAAACATCGCTTTTCGGCGACGTTTGGTGTTACCCCTCCTCTCATGCCTCCCCTCATTCTTTTGCTGATAACCCTGGTGCTTTTCCGCCAATCTTTTCCCTCTTAGTGTCTTCACTTCAATCTCTGGCCCCTCTCTCTTCTACTTTTTTTTTTTGCCTTCGATTCCCTGCCCCCCCCCCTTTTCCCCTTGCGGTTTGTGTTTGGCGACCGACTGTCTAGACCCATCAGGGGTACCACCGTCGACCACCGCAGTGTTGCTCCTTAAATCGCGGTTCCTGCGAATCTTTCAAAAACTATCTATCCTGTGACCTGCCTGTGTTTGCCAGAGAGGCAGTTGAAGGCCAATGACGCGTCCCCAGAAGCAACCTACGCTTGTCAAAATGTTCGCGGACAAGGAGACAATGGGGAAGAAACGAGAGGGAGCGGGACAAGACGAGGAAAAGGGGAAAGGGGAGGGTGAGGGGGGGGGGGCTTAGAGGAAGTTTGTCGCTTTAAATATAACCTCTTCATCCCCGCTTGCTAGTTTGGCTTGTCGCTTGCGCTTTCTATTTTCGTCCGAGACACCGCGGCCCTGCCCGGGGACACCCGCCCGGCCTGCAGCGGGTCCGCGGCCCAGGGGCTATCACTCCCATCAGCAGTCCCGACCCGACCCGACCCACGCGCCCCAATCCCTATGCCGGCCGCCTGGTACCGGTAAACAGATTCTCTTCTTTGTCAGAATGAGACGCGGCGCTGTGACCATTTGCGGGGTCAGCCGGCGGCGAGCTGACAACAACTGGCTTTTGTGCGGCCCGGCCCGGCGAGCGGGACGTGGCACAATGCTGATGCCAGGGTGACCACGAGCAGGTGGAGAGAGAGCCTCACTGCCCGGAGTCCCTACCATGCGCGGGAGAGGGGCACCGCCCCGCCCGAAGCGCCCGCTGACGGCTGGGTAGGCAATCCATCGCGCACACTTGTGGCCCGGGTGGCCTGCGAGCACGGCGCCCACGCCCTCCCCTCCCGTGTCCCCGGCCGACACCCTTCCTCGTTTAGCCTGTCGGACGGTGCGGAGAGGAGGGGAACCAGTCTTTTATTGGGGCGACGTGGTGGATGATGATGAGAAAGAAAATACTATCGATTCACAAGCCGATGAACGTGATGACAGATTTGATATTGTCATTCCGAAACTGACACCACTTCAACTCCAGGCTCACATGATTCTTCATTTTTGTCTAGCGAGAGTGTGGTTTAACCCGTGCTTGTAGGCTAGGCGACACACATTCCTTTGCCGCCTGCTCGCTTTTGAAACTCCTGCCCCGTCCTGCCCTCAGGTTGTCAACGCTCGCAGACCCACCCCGGCATGAGCGCCATACCGCAGGGGGTGCTGGCGGCGCGCGCCGTGGCCGCAAACAACGCCAAGATGCCGGAGGCCGCCAGGTCCGAAATGGGTAAGTAGCGAGAGATCCTAGACGTCAACCAACAAATACTTAACCTTCACCCATAGTGCTCACTATCTATCTCGTCTCTCTGCCCGCAGCGTTCGAGCATCCACCCCTTAAGTACAACAGCAAGCTCATGAATTCCATCTGGGGACTCTACAACCGCTACTCGGTGCACAACTTCAAGAAGAACACGGACGGGGAGGCCAATAATATTAATTTTGGGAGCCAGCAGCAAGTGTAAGTATGCAGTTGGCAGAAAAGTCTCGATAAGTGGGGCAGGGGCCTTCCCTGCCACCCTTGCCCCACCGCTGGAAGCTGTGAGGTGCACGCCTCCTGCTGGACGGACGTGGCGGTGGCGACGCAGGGCACGTCCCGGGGGCAGGACAAAACTATTATTATTTACATTGATTCAGGGTATCGATTTCTGCCGACCTCGCCCTCGCAGCTGCGGGATACAACGGATGTCTCGTTTCTCACGACTGGCGCACGGTGGAAGCGGCAGCTTCTGTTCTGTCGTACTGTCACCCTGACTTCACGCGGCGTGTGCGTGTGTGTCTCTGTCTGTCTGTCTGACTGTCTATGTCTGTCTGTCTGTCTGTCTGTCTGTCTGTCTGTCTGTCTGTCTGTGATCACCGCAATGCAGGCAGCAGGCGGCGCCAGGCGTGGTGCCTGGCCTGACTGGTGGGAAATCGAAATCAACCGCCTGATAGTTGTTTACGCGGGGAGAGAACGGAGCGAAAAAAATATGGAAAGTGCTGAGACGAGCTTGCTGATAAATATCGTGTCATGCCCTGCCACAGCCTTACGGCAGCAGCTGTTGCTGCTGGCTGCTCTTCTTCGATCCGGTGACTATACTCTTATGCTCCTCCTCCCGTTATAGCCTCATGTTGACTGCTGCTGGCCGCTCTTCCTCCCCCTGCTGACTGAACTCATGCCTGTTGTTCGCAGACTCAAGGCGACTGCTGCTGCTGACTACACTCATGCCCCTGTTGCAGCAGCCCCATGGTGGCTACTAACGCTGCTGGCTGATCTTCCTCCCGGCGCAGACTGCTCATTTGCTCCCTCCTCTTGTTTCAGCCTCATGGCAACTGCTGCTGCTCCTCTCCCCGGCGCTCTCCGCGACGCGTTCTGCCTGCAGTAAGGGCGGGGCGGGCGGGTGCGAGAGCGCTCCGGCGGCGCCCTGCGCTTGGCCGAGACGGTATAAAGGTGCTGTGTGGTAGCTTCAGCATCCAGCATGTTGTTCGCGTACGGCGACCAAGGAGTGAGAAGTATCGACGCATTTCAATGAAAATTAAAAGAAAAATTTACAGAATAAAAATTGATTTCAAGAAGTATATAATCTTAGTTACTATGGCTCTCGTCACACACACACACATCTCGCAAGTACTTACACCCGTTGGAACTACCTTTTGTAACTGCACGTATTTTGTGCAACGACCCATCGCGTCGCTCGTCGCTCGGTATATGCATTACATAATCTTGTTTTCTTACCAGTTTATCTCCAGAATCAGACAGATTTCGGACTGAGCGTGCCCTCGTGCTCACACCAACTCACTTGCCTATCTGTGGCTGGCGGCGACGGCAGTCCCCTATCGCTCTCCTGTCGTTTGTGGGTCGCCGCTATAGGGAATCTCGGGGAATCCCCATCTAGAGTCTCAAGTTAGCTCAGTCACATACTCTTTCCTCTAGCGAATTTTCCGTTATTATTATTGATATTATTAGCTCATAAACACATTGATAGGTCATTTCTCCGACAGTGAACGTTTAACGAGGAGATGCCCTGGGTAGGCCAACCCGCTAGGTAGCTGTGTGAAGATAGTGGCCCACCTAGAGCGCACAACCTCCGGGAGGTAACTTGAGGCAGGAGAACATTTCACGCTAAAGGTGCCCTTACACTCAGCGTATTCGGTGTCCGCGGACGTGTCCGGCTGTGTCCGTTTTCTATTTTCCGTTGATGTTTCAGGCAGAAATTTTAATCAAATGTACGACCGTATATCCTGGACACATTTTCTAACGTTTGGTAACAAAAACCATATCTGAAAACGGTTTAACATATCAATGCGGATACAGCGGACGCTGAGTGTAAGGGCACCTTAAATATTCCCTCGAGCTTATAAACTCGTGGAATATTCACAGTGGGGGCAGCTTGAATTGGCATACAAAAGATAAATTTGTTATTTATTACCTACCACCGACAGAAAAAAGTGATGAAACCTTTGATAGCAAGTCTCAAAAACATTCTTAAGGAATCTGAGAGTGCGCAATTGCTTCTTCTGCAAAGTCAGAACACCAAAGAGGCACTTTCTTTGTGCAGTTGCAATACTCGGTGCCCCATGGCAAGATTACTTCCGGTCGACAGCTCTCCATTAAGTCGAGTTGTTGTTGACCTTTCACAGAGGGGATCGGAAAAAAAATTACATCCATCTTTTGTTATGTCTTCTATAGTGTTGAAAGTGTGATCAAAAATTTCGTACATATGGTCAATATACGTTGAAGTTTGTTGTGTCTCTAACATGTGTGATTTCTAAAATCAACGGGCTTCCACTAACGTTGACCCATTGGCTTCCACTTCAAATACAATGGATGAATAAAGCGTCCCCCCGATAAATTTTCACCTCATTCTTGGGCAGACCCTGCAGAAACCTCTTTTCTCCTGCCGTCCGTGCCGTGAGCGGGGCGTCAGTGACAGGGTATGGCGGGACGTAGCGGGGAAGGGCGCATCGGGCCGCGCAGGCGCGCTGGGGGTGGGCGTCCACGCTTCGTACTACCGGGGTTCCCGCCACGCCCGCCACGCCCCGCGGCCTCCCTTGCCGTCCTACGCCGTGCGCCCCCTGCCTGCCTGCCTGCAGTCCCCCGCCCCCCACCCCCGCACCCCTTGGCCTCCGGCGCCCCGCCCTTGCGCTCGGGACAGAAGAGCGCCACCCGCGTCCAGCCCCTCGAGGAGCTCACCGCTGCGCACCGCCCAGGAACCGTTCAGCTCAGGGCCACGGCACGCCCCTGCGTCGGCTTCCCCTCTACGCCCCTCGGCGACCGCATTCTGTCGTCTGCCTATGCCCGCCCTTAGGGAAGTCAGCTGCCTCGCGGGACGGGTGGGGCTCGGCGGGGCGGGGCCGCCTTTAGGCCCGCCGCGACTAGACGCGCCCGGTCGGCGAGGCCCGGCTCGCGGCCCCGGGGGCCGTCTAGTCGTCGCGACGCCACGACCCTTCCGACCCGGGGGGAGGGAGGGGGGGGGGGAACGGTGGGGCGTCGTCTGGTGCTGTTGGCAAAATAAAGCAGCCCAGGACTGTCCTCTTCTGCTTCTCCGCCGGGGCTGCGCCAGGCTGCGCCGGCTGGGCCCCGAGCCCCGAGCCCCAGGCCCCCACTCCCCGCCACCGCGAGCCAGGCACCGCAGGCATCCGCAGGCAGCCCGTGTGTTTCCGGACGTGGCGACGCGGTGCGACGCGATACGCCGCCGCCGCGGTCATGGCGTCGTCCACCGTAAGAGGGGAGCGGCAGTCGGCACGCTGCCGGGCGTCATGAATGAGCCAGAGAGCCCCCCCCCCCTTCTCCACCCACCAGCGCCGCGGCGCGCCACCAGCGCCACGGCCCGGCGCTACTGTGTGGTTCACCGATCGATTACGTGATGCGTAGGTATACTGCGTCACACACAATCGCGTGAAGCTCGAGGACCGGCGACATGACCATGTCCGGCGCGGCTCACCTGGGGGGCAGCCCCCCTTGCCGCGGGCGCTCACAGGCTCGCGGCCAGGCCTCAGGCCAGCACGGGGCGGGGCGCTGGGACGCACAACAGATTCATTGCCTTTCCCCGTTGTTTCCCTCTCATTTAATTCTGTTATTTTTAGTACGCAAGCGAAACAGTCGCAGACAGAATGTCAAGGACTTCCCCGCCGACATCCCCGCCTGTCCGCCGATGGAGTCCCCCCTCAGTGCAGGGCGACCGCAGTACATGGCAGGGCAGGGTGACTCCCTAGCGCCTAGCGCAGCGTAAGCAGCGTAGCGAGAAAGGACCCTCTCGCGAAATCATCCGCCACATCCTGCGATCCTCTAGACTTGCCGCGCCCCGCCACGCCCCGCCCCGCCCCGTCCCGCCTCGCAGTCGGCGA